TTTTTTTTTTTGTGAGGAAGATCGGCCCTGAGCTAACGTCCATGCCAGTCCTCCTCTTTTTGCTGAGGAAGACTGGCCCTGAGCTAACATCCGTGCCTATCTTCCTCTACTTTATGTGGGACGCCGCCACAGCATGGCCTGACAAGCGGTGCATCAGTGTGCACCCAGGATCTGAACCCGGGCCTCCAGCAGCAGAACACAGGCACTTAACCGCTATGCCACGGGGCCGTCCCCACATTTTACATTTCTTTTGTTAAATTTATTTTAAGTATTTTATTGTTTTGGTGCTATTATAATGGAATTGTTGTACTTTCATGTTTAGATAGTCCGTTTCTAGTATAGATAAATGGATTTTATTTTTGTATATTGATCTTGTATACTGCCACCTTACTGAACTAATTCTAGTAGTTCTTAGTGATTCCTTAGGATTTTCTATATGCAAGATCATGTCATTTGCAAATAGAGATAGTTTTACTTTTTCTTTCCAATCTGGATGCCTTTTATTTCATTTTATTGCCTGATTGCCCTGGCTAGAACTGCCAGTATAATGTTAAATAGAAGTGTCAAGAGCAGACATTCTTATCGATGAGGGTCTTAGTGGAAAGCATTCAGTATTTCACCATTAAGTATTATGTTAGCTATGGGATTTTTGTAGATGACCTCATCAGGTTGAAGAAATTTCTCTCCATTCCCTGTTTGTTGAATGTTTTTATCATGAAAGTGTGTTGAATTTTGTCAAGTGCTTTTTCTGCATCTGTTGAGATGTTCATGTAGTTTTTGTTCTTTACTCTATTGATGTGGTATATTGCATTAATTGATTTTTGGATATTAAACCAACCTTATATTCCTATGATATAAGGAACATATTCCCACTTGGTCATGGTATATAATTCTATTTTTACGCTGCTGGATTTGGTTTGCTAGTATTTGTTGAGGATTTTTGTGTCTGTATTCAGATATTAGTACAAAAAGATATTGGCCTGTAGTTTTCTCATGATGTCTTTTGTCTGATTTTGGTATCAGGGCAATGGTGGCCTCGTAGAATGAGTTGGGAAGTGTTGTTCCCTCCTGTTCTGTTTTTTAGATGAATTTGTAAAGAACTGGTATTAATTCTTATTTAGATGTTTGGTAGAATTCACCAGTGAAGCCATCTGAACTTGTGCTTCTCTTTGTGGGTAGTTTTAAAATTACTAATTCAGGGCCGGCCCCATGGCCTAGCGGTTAAGTGCACGCGCTCTGCTACTGGAGGCCCGGGTTTGGATCCGGGGCGCGCACCGACGCACTGCTTCTCCAGCCATGCTGAGGCCACGTCCCACGTACAGCAACTAGAAGGATGTGCAGCTATGACACACAACTATCTACTGGGGCTTTGGGGGAAAATAAATAAAAATAAAATAAAATAAAATAAAATTACTAATTCAATCTCTTTACTTGTTAAAGATCTATTCAGATTTTCTATTTCTTCTTGAGTCAATGTCTTTCTAGGAATTTTTCCATTTCATCTAAGTTATCTAATTTGTTGGCAAACAGTTGTTTATAATACTGCTTTATAATCTTTTTTATTTCTGTAAGGTTGGAGTAATATCTACTCTATCATTCCTGATTTTAGTAATTTGAGCCTTCTCAAATTTTGTTGCTCTTTCCAATAACCAACTTTTGGTTTTATTGATTTTTCTTTATTGTTTTTCCTTGTCTATTTCATTAATTTCTGCTCTAATCCTTATTATTTCCTTCTTTCTGCTTGCTTTGGGTTAAATTTGCACTTCTTTTCCAGTATTTTAAGGTAGAAGTTTAGGTTTTTTATTTGAGATACTTTTTCTTATTTTAATATAAGCATTTACAGCTATGAATTTCCCTCTAAGCGGTGAATTAACTGGATCCCATAAGTTTTGGTGTGTTTTGTTTTCATTCATCTCGAAGTATTTTCTAGTTTCACTTGTGATTTCTCATTTGACTCATCAGCTGTTTAGGAGTATGTTGTTTCATGTCCATGTGTGTATGAATTTCCCAGTTTATTTCTGTTATTAATTTCTAATTCCACTCAATTGTAATTAGAGAACATACTTTGTACAATTTTAATCCTTTTACATTTGTTGAGACTTATTTTATGGCCTAGCTTATGATCTATTCTGGAGAATGTTCCATGTGCACTTGAGAAGAATGTGTATTCTGCTGTTGTTGCGTGCCATTTTATATAATCAATGTTCATTTGTATTTGATCATGTATTGATTCTTTTTCCCCTTTCCATTCCATCTTACTTCTCAGATAATGTTCTTTCTGCCTGAAATACTTCTTTTGTATTTCCTACAAGGGGAATCTGCTGTTGGCAAACTATCTTGGTTTTGGCTTATCTGAAAAAATATGTTTGTTTCACCTCTGTTCTTGAAACATATTTTCAACGAGTATAGAATTCTAAATTTGCAGCTATTTTCTGCTAGTAACCGTATTCTTGCCTCCATTGCTGCTGTTTTAGAAGTCAGCTGTCAGTCTAACTGCTGCTACTTTGAAAGTATTCTGTCCCTTCTCTCTGTCTGCTTTGACAATGTTCTCTTTGTCTTGACTGTTCTGCAGCATCACTAGTATATGTCTCCTTATAGATTGTTTATCCAGTTCGGGATTTGTCGTTGGACATATTCAATCTATATTGGAATATTTATCAGTTCTATAAAATTATCAGGCATTTTTGTCTTCAGATGTTGCTTCTACCTCATTTTTTCTCTCCTCTCCTTCAGGAATTCTAATTAAAGCGTTTGTTAATCGTTATTCTTTCCTCCATGTCGCTTTATTATCTTAATATTTCCCATCTTTTTTGTCTCTTTTGGATGATTTCTTCTGATTTCTTTTTCAAGGATAAATTCTTTGTTCAATCGTGTCTGATATACAGCCAAAAATGTCCATCAGATTTTTAATTTATCATTGTATTTTTAATTTCTAAAAGTCCTATTTGGTTCTTTGTCAGATCAGCTAAGCCACTTTTTATAGTTCCATATTCTTTGCAGATATTTTCAAACTTGTGTTTTATTCCTTTAAATACAGTAATCATCATTGTTTTATAATCTGTGCCTGCTAATACCAATGTCAGACTTATTTTTAGGTCATTTTCTGCTGCATGTTGTATCTGTTGCTTCTCACTCATGGTGACTTGTTTTCTTGTACTCTTGACTATATTTACTGTGGTGGTCATTGCCTGTGAAAAACTATTTGTATGGGATTCGCTGAAGCGTAAGATGGAGGTTTTTTTTCTCCAGAGAGAATATACATTTGTACTTACCAGGCATCTGGATAAATGTCAGCATTAGGCCACTTGAAGCTAAATCCATGGCTTGAAGTATCTTAGACATCAGTTTTCTTGGACTGCAATTCCCAATGAGGATTAGAACTTGGGTTTCTAGCACCAAGGAACTCTTCCAACAATACCTTGAGGATGAGAGGAAGGGGTACTGTTTATCCTTGTTCACTCTTTTTTTTTTGCTGAGGAAGATTCGCCCTGAGGGAACATCTGTTGCCAATCCTCCTCTTTTTTTGCTTGAGGAAGATTAGCCCTGAGCTAACATCTGTGTCAGTCCTCTTCTATTTTGTATGTGGGTCACCGCCACAGCATGGCTGACGAGTGGTGTAGGTCTGTGCCAGGAATCTGAACCTGCAAACCCGGGCCACTGAGGCAGACCATGCAAATTTAACCACTATGCCATTGGGCCGGCCCCTGTCCTTGTTCACTCTTATCCTGAGAGTTTAACCCTTCGGAGTCCCAGCTTCATGTTTTTACATGTGCGTGTAATGGTGGTGGAGAGGGTGAGATGTCTATCAGATTCCCTACCTCATGTGAGCCCTGGGCTTTCACTTTCATCCACCTTGCTCAGGGGCTTGGCCATCAAAACCTGGTTTAATTTCATAACATTTTTTCCTGGATAGGCAAATGCCATTAATACGAAAGTATCTTGGGGCACATGCTTACTTCTGACAGGGCCACCAAGTAGAGTTGTTCAGGTTGTGTACTGAACTTTGGGATCAAGTCTAAGGGGGCACCAGTCACCTACAGATATGTCTATTTTGAAAAATTTTTATTATAATTTTTGGTTCCAAAGCTGGGGGATTATTAAATTTATTACAATAATTTTGCAGTAGATGACAGTTAAGAGAATCAATTTATTATGACAATTTTGTTGATAGCTAGAAGTAGTGTGTCTGGTTCTAACTGGGTTTTTCCTCGCCTGCCTTTACCTTAAACTTGATAGGGCCACCCAAGTCATTGCTTCATCCCTCCAGAAGGCTCCAAGGGACCACAGCACTCCGTCCTGCACCTTGGTTTTCTTGCCTGAAGCTTTCTTTTGCTCTCAGCCTCAGCTTCCGCCTGTGCCTGAATTCATGGTCCCATTCCACCCACCTGTCACACGTTTTGTGAGGCCCACCGCATGCTCGTATATTGATGTGCGGCAGGAAGCCAGGGTGCGCCAGACGTGGCCGCTGCTGTCTTGTCCAGCTGGGGAGAAGTGCAGCAAACACAAGCAAACTTATTGCAGGAAGGGCCTGAGGATGTCCTGAGATGACGGGACAGAGAGAAGGGAAGCAGCCTGCTGTGTATGGGGTCACCCCAGGGCTGGCGCAGGCAGAGCAAGGCAGAGCTGAGGCCTGAGTCAGTGCCCTGGACACCAAATGACGCAACTCAGGGGAACCTAGGACAGTGAGCCTTGCCACGTGGTGTTTGTAAAACACCTCTTTAAAAGGAAGATTTGAAGGGCTTATCCAGATAAACATACCAGAGCATATGGTTAATTTTTTTTCTTTTAAAGAAGCCAAGAGCAAAAAATGGATTAAAGTACCCGTATAATTGTCATCACCTGGTCCCAGGGATGCATGCAATGGGGTGGTTGCTGCACTTGGGTCTTCTGGCAAATCGGAAACTACAGTTCTGACAGGCATCTGCCAGAGAGCAAGTTTGCTGAGATTAAATTCCCATGGATCCTGGAGTCAGCCTGTGCTCGTGCTTGTCCCCACACAGGGAAGCTCTTTGTGCTGGAGTCTCAGAATGGCTCTCAGGGCCTAGAACTGGAGGCGGCTCGGCTTTCTTGTGAGAACAGGGGTGCTCACCTGGTGTCTGCGGACGAGCTGCAGAGGGTGGTCCAGGATTGTACCTTCGCGGTGTGCACCACGGGCTGGCTGGCGGATGGCACCCTCGGGTAAGTCAGGCGAGCCGGGGGAAGCTCTCCTTCCAACTCCCCCCGACTGCCCCACCAGGGCTTACATGGGGGCTCAATAATTGTTCTGTGGAGGTGCCAGGATATGGAAAATGCATTCTTGTTTTGAGTTCTCATATAAAAACATTTTTCTGGAGTTCTGTTTTTTTCTCTTTACTTTGTTATTTTGAATGTCCTTTTTAGGTTACAAAAATAATACATGCTTATCATAAAAATTTCAAATAGTACAGATATGTATTAAGTACAAAGTAAATTTCTCTCTTCTTCCCCACCTCAGAGGTAATGCCTCTTAACTGCCTGGTATATATTCTTTATCCCTTTTTCTCTGTGGATATTCATCTGCATACATATGAATAGGAAGATGGTATGGAGATTTTAAAATATGACCACAAACTCTTTCACATTGCTCCTATTGAGAAGTGGGGTCTGTGTTCTCTCCCTTTAAATCAGAGACAGCATAGTATTGCCTCAACTGATAAAATGCAGCAGGAATGATGCTATGTGACTTCTGAGGTTAGGTCAGAAAAATCCATGCCCAGATTTCTGGGGACACTCACTTTTGAGATGCCATGTAAGAAGTATGACTGTCCTGAGGTGGCCATGCTGTGAGGAAGCCCAGGCCACATGGAGACGTCCCATGTAGGTGCTCTCACCAGTAAGCCCAACTGATGTCCTGGACAGTAACCAGCATTAACTGCCAGAAATGTGAGTGAAGATGCCTCCAAGTGGTTCTAGCTTTCAGCTGTTGAGTTATTGCCAGCTTACGAGTGTTCCCAGCTTAGACCCTAGATATTATAGAGCAGAGACAAGCCAATCCCACTGTGCTCTGTCCGAATTGCTGACCCAAATCCTTATAGAGAAGTACTTCTTGTAGCCATCTAGGATAAAATTTCCCAAAGTGCTGCTAACTGCTTCTTTAGTCATACTCAGATGGCAGGAGCCATTCCACTCTCTCCTTTATGCCACAGGAATGTGAAAGAGCAAAATGGGCTCCAGGAACTACTTTGGTTGATAATGACCCTGAAGATGTCTGGCTGGCAGATGGCCATGGAAAATACACACAGCCATGCTGACTCATGTCTCAAACTGTGCCACGTATGAAACAGCATTTGAATAAAGAGGACCATTGAGGCTACATCTAAAGCTTTTCAGTGAATCTGGAACTGTGGTCTTCTCTGCCTTATATTTTATATCCATGTTCCTAAATAGACAAAATATGTCTTATGCGTGCACATTTCCATAATATAGTCAAGTATAGGTATTTTTCATAACTGTTACTATCATTGCTTCAGATAACCAGGGTATTCAGAGATTCTGAAGAGCCAGCTTGGAGCCAGGCTTAGAGTTCCCAGACATTACAAGTCAGGACTGAGTCATTGGAAAAGTCCATCCTCTCTGGGTTTGCTGTGAGGTGTTAGGACATGTTAGTGGATCTCCACATTGCTGAGGTGATATTTCTTTATAAAGCAAATATACTTACTTGGTATATTTACTACATGGCATATTAAAAATAGTCTTCCCATTTTAATGTTTCTAGAACCAAGAAGTATCTGACAATTAGTATGTACATTTCACTGTGGGTCTTTCCTGCACAACCATCCCCCCTCCCCACCAAAAACCAATTATTAAATGCATGGTGCATCTTACAGTTGGTGGCGTAGTAGACATATGGTAGGTCTAATCTGTATCTCATGAATTTGTGTTGAGTATACACATAAAGCCAGAGAAGGATGGAGGTCTAGAGTGGTGAATCCAGAATTTGGAACTACTTGTTTCCTGAGAGCTTGTGTAGATTCCGTAAAGGGTGGCTGAAAAGCTGAGTGGCAATTTAGATAGCCTTGTGGGACTAGGAGGACAGAGATTTGAATTCAGGTTTTGTGTAGGAGGGGGCCTGGGGAGCACTTTTGCTTTGAGTTGGGACATTACAGGGCAGTACCCCAGGAGTAAGAGTAAACTGAAAGAAGTACACAGGCCCTCATCGGAACTGCAGCATAGCTTCAAATCCTTTGAAACCATGAAATTGGATTGAGGTGTTACTGGCATTCCAGTGCTCCAGATAGCTAACAGAACTGAGTTAAAAAAATCCTCTCTAGAGGAAGATAACGTTATCATAGGCAATTTATCTCCACAGACAGCATTAGCAAATATAGGATTTGTCACACAATACAAAATAACTGGTCACATGAGGATACAAAGCAACAAGAATAAAAATCAGGAGAAACAATAGCTAATCAAATCTCTAGATGTAGCATCGGTAGATGCAAACTTTAAAATAACTATCTTTAAAATGTTCAAAGATACAAAAGACAAGAAGGAGAATTTTGGCGGAAGAATGGAAACTGTAAAAATAACCAAATGAAAACTCTAGAAATGAAAAATACCATAACTAAAATTAAGAACTTAATGGATGGATCTAATGGCTGATAAAGGGAGCCAAAGAGAAAATCAGGGAACTGAAAGATATTTCATAGGAAGATATCCAGAAAAAAGAACAGAAGAAAAAAACAAAAACAAAAAAAAATAGAAGAAAGGGTAAAAGGCAAAGAAGATGCATGTAACTGGAATTCCAAAAGAAGAAGAGAAAGAAGGGGGAGCAAAAGCAATGAGAGACTTACCCACAACTGAAGAAAAACATCAAGGCACAGATTCAAGAAGCCCTACAAAGCCCAAGTAGAACAAATAAAAAGAAATTCACCACTTGACACATCATGGTCAAACTGATAAGAATCAATATGAAGAAAAAAATATTAAAAGTAATAAGAAAAAGAGAGAGTATCTTCAAAGGAGTGACAATAAACTGGCAATGGAAGTCCAAAGACAATAGAATGATACCTCCAAAATCCTGAAAGAAAATTACTGCCAACCTAGAATTCTATACCTAGTGAAAATATCTTCCAAGAATAAAGGTAAAATAAAGACATCTTTAGGCAGACAAAAGGAGAGAGAATTCATTGTATCAGACCTGCACTAAAAGAAACACTAAAAGGTGCTCTTTATGCAGGAGGAAAATAATGGCAGGTGGAAGGCTAGAGATGCAAAAAAGGATGAATGGAAAGAGTAAATATGGGGGTAAATTGAAATTATGTAATTATATAAAGCAGTAATAATAAAAATAAATACTAAAAAATGGTATATAAATCTGGAAGTATTTTAAATATGTTAATACATGGTATTTTAAGTATTTAAAGTTGTGTTATTGAGGAAGAGGCTAAAATTAATATTAAATTTCAGTAAGTCAAGGAAGCATATTATAACCTCTAGGGTAACCACTAAAAGAATAGTAAAAGGATATATAACTTCCAAACCAAGACAGAGGAAAAAGAGAATGCCGAAAAAAGAATTCAAACAATTCAAAATAGGGAAAAGAAAAGAGAGGAGGAAAGGAAAAGAGAATGGGTGGAACTAATAGAATGATGGCAGATTTAAATTCAAAGAGATCTGTGATTAAATTAAATATAAGTAGGTGAGATGCTCCAATTAGAAAACAAAGATTGTCAGATGGATTTTTTTTAAATTGTAGTGTTTGCTGTTTACAAAACATATCCCTAAATAAATCGTGGAACAAAAATAAATTGTAATGGAAATTAGCATATATGTAGAACTGAATGATATTAAAAATACAACATACTCAAACTCGTGGGATGCTATACCTAGAGGGAAAGCTAAAGTATTAAATGCTTGTATTAGAAAAGGAAAAAGCCTGGAGGTTCACGGACTACTAATGATCCATCTTAAGAAATCTGAAAAAGAACAGCAAAACAAACCCCCTCAAAAAGAAGGGAACTTATATAAGAGAAGAGCAGAATTTTATGAAATCAAAAACAAACACATAGTGGAAGAGATCAACAATGTATTGCCTCTGAAATTTGAGTTAATAGATATGACCTCAACTCGAGCATCACCTATATCTTCCTGATTTTAGACCTTTGTTTGAGGAGAGTGTTTCCATCTTGATGCTTTCAGCCAAAGCTCCTGAGTCAGAAAAATCTCTGCCGATTCAGAGTGACAGCAGAAAAGATTTGTTCTTTCCCAGTTTTGGTTAGTTCTCCTAACCCTGTGTTTTCTTTGTCTGTTTCAGGACAACCGTGTGTAGCAAGGGGAGTGGTGAACAGCAAATCTTGAGGGCTGTTGATGTGAGAATTGAGAGCAACCCAGTTCCTGGTGGCACATACAATGCCCTTTGTATTAAGGATGAAGGTCAGTGCCAGAGTCTTTGTAAAGGTTCTGGAGGGTGCACTCTTGGGGGTTGCCATCTTAGGTTGGGTTCTCTAGAAGCCAACCTTGAGGTGAGGATTCACTGAACATGGTTTATCAGGAAGTCTTCTAAAGAGAAGCCAACAGGGCAGTGGGGCAGTAAACAGGGAAAGAAAGGGGCCAGGCAGTGGTGCAATACTAAGCAAAGTCCACAGTGGTGGTGAGGTCGGGGCGTAACTTTGGCTCAGTCGCACTGGGGATCTCTGGAGACAGTGTGTGGGTCAGCACAGTTTTCCTGATCAGGAGTGAGGGAGCAGGAGTATTATACCACTGCACCTGTCAGTCATTGGTTAAGGGCTACTTCAGGGAGATGTAAATTCCCAGGCTCCTCTGGTCTTTGGTGTGCACAGGCAAAGGGTTCCAGTAGCCTGAGTGCCACCTTCCAACAAAGGGGCACAGATGCCCCCCAGGAGCCTCTGGGCATGAGAAGAGCAAAGGTATCTAGGGACTGTGGGCAGACCCCTGACAGTATCTGCTACAGTTGCTGATACAGCTTGCCCTTCAGTCTCCCTTCGTGGTGGACAGCACACTAGAAAGCAAAAAAAAAATCCTTTTTCCCCAAAAGGAAATTTATAGGATTGAGGAAACTGCTCCTAGGAAGGAAAATTCAGCTTCCTTCTGGGAAATCAGCTAAGTGGCAGGGAGAAAACCAAAAAGGAGTCTCCAGGGCTGCATTTCATTGCACTGAAGTAAGTACACCTTCATTATGAGACTCACGTGCCATTGGAAGGGAATGTTCGTGCAAGTGGAGAAAAAGCCAGCTGCTTACTCATCACTCATAGAAGTCAGCACAGGTACTGCTTGACTGCACGTTGGCCTCGTCTGGGAAGTTTTAAGAAATACTGATGCCTGGGTGCCAGCCCTAGAGATTCTGATATAAATGTTCTGGACGTTGGGGTTTTAAAAGCTCCCCAGTGATTTTTAACATATAGCCCAGTTTGAGAACTACTTCTCTAATGCAGCATTTCCCAAACCTCTCTGGTGATGAGAAATATCAGATGAACTTGCTAGAAATGCAAACTCTCAGGCTGCATCCCAGAGGCACCAAATCCTAATCTCCAGGGAAGGGGTCAGAGGAGTTGGTAAATCAAAGAGCTGTGGTGCACCCTAGTGCCCGTTAGATGTATATGAGTGATAGGCTTCTCTGCTGCTATGGGGTCTCCCTCCAGGAAGGGTTCTTCCTTTGCTGATTGCTATTGAACAGTGTGTTAGGAGAGACTCCTGATATCATCTGTCCAATCAATCCACTGAAGGATGTGGCATTGCTCTGGAAAGTCCTGGGGAGAACAACATCCATGGTTTGTTTTTTAAACACCACATAAGTAAGTTAAAACGATCCTTTGACTCCCAAACATAGGCAAAGGTTTAGATCCCTGAGGAAGATGGGACAGAGCCAGAAGAAAAACAGCATGACCTTCTTTCTTCACTGATCTCAAATGAATATATAGGGTTCTGAGTCTCATCTCTTTCCCCTGATAAACAATAGGTATCAGTTAGCTTTTGCTATGTAACATACCACCCCACAATGTAGTGGCTTAAAACAACAACTATTTATTTAGTTCATTGTTTTTGGACCAGCAGTTTGTGTTCTTCTGCTGGTCTTGGCTGGGCTCATTCATGAGTCTACACTCAGCTGCTGGTTAGGTGGCCTTGCTTCTGGGAGTTGGCTGGCTGTTGGCTGGGGTGAGGGGGGCAACTGGGACATGTGTTCCTCATCATCCAACAGGATAGCCTGGGCTTCCCACCTCACAGGCCTTCAAACAGGTTGTGTGTATGCAAGCGTGTGCCCCTTTTGCACACAACTGTAGTGCATGAAGCCAGAGGTTGGAAGCATCCGTTCATATCCTATAGGGCACCAAGGTCAAAGCCATCATAGTGACTCCAAAACTGAGTTATTACCAAACCAATGTAATGTGCCTCTTGATGTACTGCACTCAGAGGAACACGACTTCAAGTCAGTAGTATTCCTGCTAAAAATGCATAACTTGAATCTAATCATGAGGAAACATTAGCCAAACTCAAATTGAGAAACATCCTACAAAATGACTGGCCTGTACTCTTTAAAAAAATATCGAGGATAAGAAAAACAAAGATAGGCTATGCAACTGTTCCAGATTAAAATAGACTAAAAAGACTTGACAAGGAAATGCAATTTGTGATTCTAGATTGTATCCTGGGCCAGGAGAAAATAGCTGTAATTAATGAAATCTGAATACGGATTATGAATTAAATAATAGTATCACTGCTTGAATTTCCTGATTTTGGTAATTGTACTGCAGTTATGTAAGAGAATATCCTTGTTCTTGGAAATGCGTACCAAGGTTTTAGGGACAAAGGGACATTATATCTACAACTTACTCTCAAATGGTTCAGAAAATAATTACAGATATAAATACATATATATACATATGCATATATATGTATACATACATATATATGCATATATATGTATCTTCCTCTCTATATAGATATCTATATCTATCTAGGGAGAGAGAAGAATGATAAAGCACATGGGGCAAAATGAAAACACGTTGGTGAATCTGGATAAAGGGTATTATGGGAGTTCCTTATTCTTACAATTTTTCTGTAGCTTTGAAATTATATAAAAATAAAAAATTCAAAAAAAAAGCAAAATGGTCTACATAGTCTTCCAAAACAATAACAGACCAAAAAAAAAAAAAAAGCAAACCCCAAGAAACAAAAAATCTTTGAGCCATGGGCAGCCAACATGTGAAGCAATTCATGACATCTGTCAACCTATGTGAAGACTGATGCCATTTTAGCGAGCGGGCACTGTTCGTGATTTATCAGAATCAAAGTGCTCAAGGGCTCTACATCCCAGAGGAGTTTGCCTGAGCCTAGCCTGGCCTCCCTTCACCTCCAGCTCAACGGGAAGGGGCTTATATGGGGAAGACTGGAGTCTTGGTCCTAGGGGCCTTATTTGTGAGGAGGCTTCAGGTGGGCATGAAGGAAACTCAGGAATGCATGTTGAGTGGGATTAGGGTCAGAGGGCTGCTCTCTCTTGGGCCTTCTAGAAAAGCAGGATGGATTCCCCAACTCAGAGAGAGCTCTGTCCCTGTTCCTCTGCCTTTTGTCCTTTAGAAAGGGCATGTAAACCCCTCACACAGGGCCCTCCACCCCCTCAGCGGGGCCTTTGTTGACAGCACAGTCAACAAGGGAAATCTATCTGTGCGCTGAAGGAAGGTGCAGCGCCTTAGCAGAAGCCCAGGGGAACAGGCGGTTCTTGGGGTTCTTGCAGGGTGTAGGTGAGGTCTGGTTCAGCATATGCCCTGGTGCAGTATCATCTCCAAAGGTTGCCCTTTTCCCGATGACGCTTCATGGTGCTCAGCTCTGTGCTGCTGCTTCTCTTTGGTGAGACATGAAGAATGAAGAGTGCTAACTCCAAAAATGGCTCTCATAAAGAGCCCAGAAGGAAAACAGAGCCTGTGGAATGTTCAGGCAACTTCCTCCTCTGTTTCTTTTTTGAAATAAAGTCCATCATGAATGTAGACTTTTCTCCTTTTCCTCCTAGTATTTTTGTTTCACTGACAGTGAATTTCCAGCCCGTGGTGATCTCACTTAAACTAATAAGTTTAAGTTATTTTTAACCAACTGGATGCTGATGAAATAAGCTGACTCCATTTGGGTTCTCTGGCTTTGTTTCTCTTGGCAGCTTGTCTGTGGGGTCGACAACTTGGAGTCTGGAGACTTCAAGTCTCCTCTCACTTATCTTTTGCATCCACAAGGCTCCACTCTGGGTGTGCATCTGTTTCTCCCCCTCTACGACAGGGCTGGCCTGGCTGCTCTTCCCCACCGGCCCACTTCACCTTCTGCATTCCACTTCCCCTGTGTGCTTTACTATTGCCTATATTTCCCTTAACAACAGAAATGGAATGATTTCCTTCGTTTATGTCATCAAGAAGAGAGCTGGGGGGCCGGCCCAGTGGCACAAGCGGTTAAGTGCGCACGCTCTGCTGCGGCGGCCCAGGGTTCGCCAGTTCAGATCCCGGGCGTGCACTGACGCACTGCTTGGCAAGCCATGCTGTGGCGGCGTCCCATATAAAGTGGAGGAAGATGGGCACGGATGTTAGCCCAGGGCCAGTCTTCCTCAGCGAAAAAAGAGGAGGATTGGCAGACAGCACAGGGCTGATCTTCCTCACAAAAAAAATTAAAAATAAAAAAAAAGAAGAGAGCTGGATGCTCACCTCTTTGAGAGCAATCAGGAATTTTTGAGAGTAGCCAATTCCCAGGTCTGCCTGGAGGAGGCCCCATGCCTCAGGATTGGCTTTGGGGAAATTCTCCAGCTGTGATCAGGTGACTGGAACTAATTAATTCCACTGCTTTGAACACCTGATAGAATTTATTTAGTTCAGGGTCTCCCAAGGGAGTGCGGAAGACTTCTGAGTTTATTACCATTGACCTGGCATTGGCCATTTGTTTATTTTATTTTATTTTTATAATTTTATTTATTTATTTATTTTCCCCCCAAAACCCCGGTAGATAGTTGTATGTCATAGTTGCACATCCTTCTAGTTGCTGTATGTGGGACGCGGCCTCAGCATGGCCAGAGAAGCGGTGCGTCGGTGCGCGCCTGGGATCCGAACCCGGGCCGCCAGTAGCGGAGCGCACGCACCTAACCGCTAAGCCACGGGGCCGGCCCGGCCATTTGTTTATTTGTCCAGGGTAATGTAGAGGCCAGTGCTCAGACTTGTGGGTGCTTCAGGTAGGTAGGTAGGTAGGTAGGTAGATAGGACGCATCTCTACCCCCAAGAAGTTGACATGTATAAGGATAAGAGATGAATGTGTTTCTATGACACAAAGGAGGAGGATAATTAGGGAGACTTCCTGCGGCAGTGGAGTTTGAAGGATTTTGTTTTGTGGGGAAAATGGGTAGGGAAGGGAGGAGAGGACATTGCAGACAGAGAGAAAAGGGGGACCAAGGG